AAAAAAGACAAGGTCCTGGAAACACATACACACACACAGAAAGAGAGAGAAAAAGAGACAGAGAGACAGACAGGTAGATCAGGGATCTAGCGTCTACAGCAGTTAGAAAATCTAAGAGGTTTTTCATGCCTAATAACAGAATGGTCTGTTCTGAAGCTAAGAGCAAATAGAAACTGAATGGTACAGGCACCTGTACCCACCACTCTCTTACTGAAGAAACATACAGATCCTGAGTAAAATACACAAATGCTCCAACATGCATCAGGCACCAACTTCTTCCATGGCACAAAGGCCATGACCTGTCCAGATCCCCACAGAGCCAGCTGCACTGCTCAGCTTCAGATCCTACCCCTACAGTTGACAGCATCCTGTCCAACCCAATCATTTAATATCCTTGACCATCTTCGTCTGGAAGCCAAGTGGAGCTGCTGGCAGGAGACCAGTGTGCTGTTTTAAGGGCACAAAATGGAGGCAGTCTCCCTCCAAGCTCCTCACCTTCACTGTGCCTCTCTTGGTTCTTTCCTTCTTGTAAAGATGACAGAAAAGATGACGGTGTTGAGCGGGTCACTGCTAATCTCCTTTCTTACCTCTGAGTCTACTGGTGGTTTTAAATTCAAGCCATCACCTATCCTATTTCAAGATGGCTGGTTGAGGCTGCAGTTAGTGCGTTCAGGGGCCAAACCATCCCAGGTGCAGGCACACTGGGAGTCCTGTCTGGTCCCAGCAGGCTGGCAGATGCTGAGGGCCTGCCTGCCTGCCTATAGTAGAACCTGCTTTGGATCTACAGACAGAGGGACTCACATCTCCTTGCTCCTGCTTAGGCCATGACTCTGGGTGTTGACACTAGGGACATGCCTTCATCCATTTATCATTTCTGTTAAACCATTCAGGCAGAACTGAACTCGCTCACAATCCCAAAGAGATACAACAGGTGGGCCATGTCAACTTCAGCTCTAGCAGGCTCTGAAGTGCATTTCTTCTCTCTAACTTTGAGGCCCTTCCCTCCCCCAGCACCTGTACCCTCCCTCCCTTGGTTATAATCCTGTGTTTAAGGCCTACAGCCTGGTGCCCACTTCACTTCCCTGGCTTTTTTTTCCCTCTCTTTTCCAATGTTACCCTCCAAGCACATGTAGCTTTTTACAGTCCCCAGATATGACTGTGACCTCTTAGTCCTTAGTCTTACTCCTCCTGTCTTTGAAATCCAGTTCATACCCTAGTATAGGGCTCTGAATTGCTGGCCTGAAGTTCCTACTCCACCTGAAGACCCCATTGGGAAGTTGCCTCTACTCTGCTAAGTCCAGAGTTTTCTCCTTGGGATGCCCAAACACTGTGTGAGTGTGCGCGCGCGCGCGCGCGTGTGTGTGTGTGTGTGTGTGTGTGTGTGCGCGCGCGCAGTATAATTAAAAATGTATTGTAGAGTGCACATTCACATGTTTGCATATCTATCTATCTCCATCTTATTTTTTTGAGACAAGGTCTATCACCACCTTCCAGGCTGCCCCTGCCAGAGCTGAGGTTACAGACATGCTATGCAGCATCTGGCTTTTATATAGGTGTTAGGAATTAAACTCAGGTCCTCACATTGAATGATAGGTGCTTTGCCAGCTGAATCATGTCCCCAGCCCTGGGATAACAAAATCTTTCTGTGTGTAGTATTCAAGATAGCTCAAACATCTTCGCCACCCACTTGTAAGTTCCGCGAGGGAAGAGACTAAGTCTGACTCAGAGTTAAATTCTTGATGAGGATGCTTGTCAAACATTTGTAGAATTCGGTGCTAAAGAAAACTCTGGAAAGAAGGTGAAATCATGCATCCGGCACAATGTTTATGTGTGTTGGCATGTGTACGGGCACATTTACCCACATGTGTATGTTCACTGGTACCCATGTGTCAGGTATTGATGTCATAAGTGTCCCTAGATTGGTTCCTACCTTATATACTGACACAGGGTCTCTTACTTGAACCCAGAGCTCATTTATTCTGCCCACGTGTGAGCCACTGTAGAATAAAGTCTTTATCACATAGCCAGGTCACCTCAAAGGTGGGAGAAGGCTACTCAGTCTATAGAAAGGCTTGTCTCGTGTCTGTTGGGCCCGATGTCAGCTGGGCTGATGAGGTATAGAACAAATTGGAGGATCTCATGTCTCAGCCTCGTAAGTGCTGGGATTATATGTGGGCCGCTCCATGTGCCTGGCCCACATATGTGGGTTTGGGGGATCTGAGCTGTCTCCCCGGCTTCAACCCTTCTTGCATGCCCATGGACAAGGTAGTTCCTCCACTCTTATTCATACAGTATTTGAGAGGCATTATGGTGAATTCTACCACTTCACTTTAGGTGAAGTGATCTATAGTTCTCGGAATGTCCTGCTGCCTTCTGTGCTGCCCTGGGGCATCTGCTTGGCCTACAAGTCACCTAGCTCCAGGGTCAGGTAGATAGGCTCTGGAGTAAGGGACAAATTTACCTCATAGGTCATCTAAATTACTGAGATTGCAGGCTCTGGAGCCAGATGTGTTCCTACAACTTTTAGGGTCAAAACCTAAGCTGTAGCAGCCCCCCAAAGCCAGATTCAGCCACCCATCTTCAAAGTACCAATCAAAGAGACAAGCAATAGTGAAACCAGAGAAAGGAGATTTCTCCAATGTAACTACACCAGGAAGAGGAAGATTAAGAGGTCCAGTGACCTCTGCCGCCACATCTGTTTTCAGGATACTGACTAGAGCTTTAGAAAATAGAACAGGAAAATGTCAGGCAGAGACTTCAAAAGTGGATTGGGGTGACACAGAGATTAGAGCACAGTGAGAGGGCTGGAGAGATGGCTCAGCATTAAGAGCACTAGCCTGCTCTTCCAGAGGACTAGCCTGCTCTTCCAGAGGACTGGGGTTCAATTCTCAGCATGTATGCTTATGTGTGTGAAACAGATACACACACACACACACACACACACACACACACACACACACTGCAGTTCACAGCCACCTGTAACTTCAGACCCAGGACATCTGACATTCTCTCATTCTCTTCTGGCATTTTTGGATACCAGGCATGCTCACGGTACACAAACATACATAGCCAAAGCACCCATACACAGATAAATGTTTGGGAAAAAAGAATAGCTAATGAGGGGGAATTCTCTCCAGAGCCATAAATGTGAAATGACTATAGCCAGAAATATATGATATACATCAAAGGGCCACAAAAGGACTCAGCATGGAAAGGCACTTGCCACCAAGCCTAATGGCTTGAGTTCAATCTTCAGAACTTATGGTCAAGGAGAGAACCAACTCCCCCACAAGTAATCCTCTGGCCTCCACAAGCATGCCACAGTACAAGCATGCTTGCACTAACACACATATCACATGAACACATATACAGTAATAATAAAATTATTATATCACACCCTCACACAACACATCATAAATATATGCAAATACTGCATCAATTTAAATTTTTCTTTTTATTGATGTTTTGGGGACAGGCTGTCTCATAGCCCAGGCTGGCTTCAAACTTGATATGTAGCCAAAGACGGCCTTGAACTCCCGATCCTCCTATCTTTATTTACTGAGTACTGGGATTAAAGAGGTGCACCGACCTCTTTAGTTAAGATGGGGTTTTGTTTTCTTTTGTTTTTTTAATGAAATGTAAAAACAGCCCAGTATCTGAGCCCAGAGTTTTTCATTCACATTCATAGATGTAAGGTGATGTCACCACATTGCTAGAAGAAGCATTCCTAAATGCTTCTCAGATACTGCACTTTTCTAGTCTCAGAGTAACTGGCAATTTGTGGGAGGTGTAGTTTGGAGACTGCATGTTGAGGACACCT